CCTAGCCTATAAGTAGTCTCTGTAATAGAGTATTTTTTTGAGGTACAACTGATTTTGGGGAATCATTTCCTTGGGGGTGAAAATGAATTTTTTTAGTATATTTTTTTATCTGCCAGCCTTTCAGAAGCTTTCTCACACCATGTAACCTAGCCTATAAATTGTCTCTATAATAGGGTATTCTTTTGAGGTACAACTGATTTTGGGGAATCATTTCCTTGGGGGTGAAAATGCATTTTTTTAGCATATTTTTTATCTGCCAGCCTTTCAGAAGCTTTCTCACACCATGTCACCGAGCCTATAAATTGTCTCTATAATAGGGTATTTTTTTGAGGTACAACTGATTTTGGAGAATCATTTCCTTGGGGGTGAAAATTAATTTTTTAGCATATTTTTTTATCTGCCAGCCTTTCAGAAGCTTTCTCACACCATGTCACCTAGCCTATAAGTAGTCTCTGTAATAGAGTATTTTTTTTGAGGTACAACTGATTTTGGGGAATCATTTCCTTGGGGGTGAAAATGAATTTTTTAGCATATTTTTTTATCTGCCAGCCTTTCAGAAGCTTTCTCACACCATGCCACCTAGCCTATAAATAGTCTCTATAATAGAGTATTTTTTTGAGGTACAACTGATTTTGGGGAATCATTTCCTTGGGGGTGAAAATTAATTTTTTAGCATATTTTTTTATCTGCCAGCCTTTCAGAAGCTTTCTCACACCATGCCACCTAGCCTATAAATAGTCTCTATAATAGAGTATTGTTTTGAGGTACAACTGATTTTGGGGAATCATTTCCTTGGGGGTGAAAATCAATTTTTTAGCATATTTTTTTATCTGCCAGCCTTTCAGAAGCTTTCTCACACCATGCCACCTAGCCTATAAATAGTCTCTATAATAGAGTATTTTTTTGAGGTACAACTGATTTTGGGGAATCATTTCCTTGGGGTTGAAAATTAATTTTTTAGCATATTTTTTTATCTGCCAGCCTTTCAGAAGCTTTCTCACACCATGTCACCTAGCCTATAAATAGTCTCTATAATAGAGTATTGTTTTGAGGTACAACTGATTTTGGAGAATCATTTCCTTGGGGGTGAAAATGAATTTTTTAGCATATTTTTTTATCTGCCAGCCTTTCAGAAGCTTTCTCACACCATGCCACCTAGCCTATAAATAGTCTCTATAATAGAGTATTTTTTTGAGGTACAACTGATTTTGGGGAATCATTTCCTTGGGGGTGAAAATCAATTTTTTAGCATATTTTTTTATCTGCCAGCCTTTCAGAAGCTTTCTCACACCATCTCACCTAGCCTATAAATTGTCTCTATAATAGGGTATTCTTTTGAGGTACAACTGATTTTGGGGAATCATTTCCTTGGGAGTGAAAATGAATTTTTTAGCATATTTTTATATCTGCCAGCCTTTCAGAAGCTTTCTCACACCATGTCACCTAGCCTATATATTGTCTCTATAATAGGGTATTTTTTTGAGGTACAACTGATGTTGGAGAATCATTTCCTTGGGGGTGAAAATTAATTTTTTAGCATATTTTTTTATCTGCCAGCCTTTCAGAAGCTTTCTCACACCATGTCACCTAGCCTATAAGTAGTCTCTGTAGTAGAGTATTTTTTTGAGGTACAACTGATTTTGGGGAATCATTTCCTTGGGGGTAAAAATGAATTTTTTAGCATATTTTTTTATCTGCCAGCCTTTCCGAAGCTTTCTCACACCATGTCACCTAGCCTATAAATTGTATCTATAATAGGGTATTCTTTTGAGGTACAACTGATTTTGGGGAATCATTTCCTTGGGGGTGAAAATCAATTTTTTAGCATATTTTTTTATCTGCCAGCCTTTCAGAAGCTTTCTCACACCATGTCACCTAGCCTATAAGTAGTCTCTGTAATAGAGTATTTTTTTGAGGTACAACTGATTTTGGGGAATCATTTCCTTGGGAGTGAAAATGAATTTTTTAGCATATTTTTTTATCTGCCAGCCTTTCAGAAGCTTTCTCACACCATGTCACCTAGCCTATATATTGTCTCTATAATAGGGTATTTTTTTGAGGTACAACTGATGTTGGAGAATCATTTCCTTGGGGGTGAAAATTAATTTTTTAGCATATTTTTTATCTGCCAGCCTTTCAGAAGCTTTCTCACACCATGTCACCTAGCCTATAAGTAGTCTATGTAATAGAGTATTTTTTTGAGGTACAACTGATTTTGGGGAATCATTTCCTTGGGGGTGAAAATCAATTTTTTAGCATATTTTTTTATCTGCCAGCCTTTCAGAAGCTTTCTCACACCATGCCACCTAGCCTATAAATAGTCTCTATAATAGAGTATTTTTTTGAGGTACAACTGATTTTGGGGAATCATTTCCTTGGGGTTGAAAATTAATTTTTTAGCATATTTTTTTATCTGCCAGCCTTTCAGAAGCTTTCTCACACCATGCCACCTAGCCCATGAATTGTCTCTGTTATAGAGTATTTTTTTGAGATATAAATCATTTTGTGGAATCATTTTTTTGGGGGTGAAAATGAAGTTTTATTTATATTTTTTCATCTAGCACCCCTTTAGAGATTTTCTCAGTATATGCTATTTAGCTCATCAATTACTTTCAATACAGTAATCGGTAAGTGAAAACTCGAAGAAAGGTTGTGGGTTAACTCTTGTTCCTGCCAATTATTTAATTAGGGTGGAAAATGATTCTTCCTATAGGGGTGCTTATTCTCGTGCATATATATACTTATTGTTGCGAGCTGTTAGCTGTATCCTTCACAATCACAGTCTGGTCGAGGATGTCGACGCCACTGGTCATTCGGGTATCTTCGGCAAATTGTCCGCTAAATTTTGTCTGCCAACTTCACACCGGTACACAAATCTGGGGCCGCGTCTAGAATATTTGGGAGGGGTCCATATGGTGAATTTGAAAAAAAATACCAGCTCGTTAAAGTTCTGGGAAGTACGATTCATGTTTGGGAAGATGCCCATTTCGAGGATTGAAAATTGAGGAGCGATGGGGAGGGAGGGGGGGTAAGGGAAGTCTGCTGCATCAGTGCTTCTCGGAGCAAATGCCCTTATGACAACTGATGATCGGGGTGGGGGTATCTGCAATTCAACATTAATCATCAAGGGAGGTATCGACGCAAAGAGCGGAGGGAAGGTAGTCTGCGAATTGAGAAACACGTTCGATTTTTGTTTTGTTTTTTTGTCGAAGTTTTTTCTGGGAGAGCGTGCGGACCCCTAAGACACCCCCCCTGGATCCGCCACTGCTCCGATCTAACAGCAGATATCTTGGCTGTTCTTGAAATATTATACACTGAAAGTCATTTACTTTTTTTTGTCCTAAATGTGTACAAAAGAGTGAAACGTGCAACGCGTATGTTAGGAAGAGTGCGTAATATAATTAATAAGCGTCGACACTTAATAACGTACGTGTTTCAAGGTGTTACATGCTTCTTTTCTCTCTCGTATACATGGAAAGCCAAGAGCGAAAAAGGTATGAAAGTATACTCAGTAACAAAGAAAATATTGTAAATATACACATGAATGAACAAGATTGTAAATTCTGGTAGATGCGCTTATACAAGGTGCGTCATTTATTACTTTTTTTCCATTTGAAAAATCAACACGCTTTTTACGAGGTGAAATCGAATTTTTTTATTGATAAATGAAGGTTGGTTTATGCCATTTATGTATGAAAATTAGTATCAGTCATGTGACCACCGCGGCTTCGTTTACAGGCCAACATCCGAGCATCCAAATTTTCAATGACTTTTCCCAGAATAATCGGGTCTATGGCCGCAATTTCAGTCCGTATATTGCGCTTTAGGTCTTGAATTGTCCGGAGACCATTCGCATACACTTTTCCTTTCAAAAATCCCCAATGAAAATAGTCAAGAGATGTTAAATCGCACGATCTCGGGGGCCAACTGACATCTGAATTTCGTGAAATTATGCGGTCTTGAAATTTCGTGTGCAATAAGGCGATTGCTTGGCGAGATGTGTCAGTCGTTGCTCCGTCTTGATGAAATCAAAGATCGTCGGCACCAATACGGTCCAATTGTGGTCACAAAACGTCTGTTAACATGTCGCGATAACGTTACCCGTTGACGGTAATAACCTTTTCTTCGGTATCCTCAAAGAAGAATGGTTCAACGATGCCACTAGCCCATAATCTGCACCAAACCTTCACTTCTTCATAATGGAGAGGTTGTTCATGATATTGGTGTGGATTTTCAGCCCCCCAGAATCTGCAATTTTGCTTATTTGCGTAGCCATTGAAGTGAAAATGAGCCTCATCAGAAAAGAGCACTTTGGTCGAAAATCCGTCTTCTCTTTTCAGCATCCAGTTAACAAAAGCACGCCACTGTTGATGGTCTGCCGGCTTCAATTCTTGTGTTAGTTGGATTTTGTATCGAGGAGGTTTAAATTAATGTGTAAAATCCGGCGTAAAGTGGTCTCACTAATTCCCAATTGTTGCGAACGGTGCCTAGTCGAGGTGGTTGGATACTCGCACACTTTCACTCACTGCGGCTATGTTTTCACGAGTACGAACTGGACGAGCATGTTGGTATGGTCTACGACCTTCAGCTGATCCAGTTTCATCAAAACAATTAACAATCCAACGAATTCCAGGCTCTGTAGGGTGTCCATGTCGGCCAAAACTAGTGCGAAGTTTGCGAAAAGTATTTTTTATATTTCGACCGTTTTCGTAATAAGTTTGGATAACCAAAATGCGTTGTTGTGTTGTTAACGAATCCATGATCATAAATGGTATATCTGTGACAGTTCATTTATGCATACCACATGACTTTTGACTCACATGGTAACACATAAACTTATAGGTAAAAAAAAGTAATAGATGGCGCACCCAGTACAATTCACGGATCTAGGATCAACACAGCCCAAACAAAGTTAATATTTGTGAATCGTTCAGTACTAGGAGAATAAAATATACGTATATCTTTAAATGGAATTTAATTTTTAATGTTTTCCGTTGCAGAATCTATTTCCAAAACTGCAATTATGACATACCTAGGTTGAAATGCCATAAAGGAGATAAGCAATATTTCAAATCGTTGCGACAATTTTTCTACCATATCGCTATAATCGCCTGTACATACGCTCGTGACAGGTAAGTAGATAATCGACATTTTCAGACATATCACGTTCTACTTCCAGTCGGTGATCAGAAATATATTCAGTGACAGAGAAAATCCACCTATAAACCCCAGTAAAAATTTCATTTGATATAAATCTTATATACAGGGTGGTGCATCGGAAACGAAACAGACGCATTTACTGGCAGCTCAGTTTTTTTTAAACGCTCAGACCCGTCGATTTTGTTTTCGAGGGGGACACAAGTTTGGCAAAAAATCAGGTTAGCACGTACAGCCCCCTAAGCGGCGGTGCAATATACCTCCGATCATTCTGATTTTCAATTATGGCTGTTAATGCAGGATCTGTGTCGTCTTCCAGTAATTCCAAATACATTTCAACGGTCAAATTTCCAGGTAAGAAAAAAGGACCAACTAAATGATCGCCAAAAATACCAGCTCAAACATTTAATTTTTGTGGCTGCTGTGTATGAACCTCATGATAAATTCTGGGATTAGAATAGCACCAATATCGGCAGTTATGACGATTTACTACATCATTTAAGAAAAAGGAACATTCGTCGGAAAAGCAAGTGTTGAATAGAAAATGTTTATAATTCGTTCACTTATATCTTCACAAAATTATAATCGCCGATCAAAATCGTCTTTATTAAGTTCTTGTACCAGGTGAATTTTATACGGATGAAAACTATGGGCCTTTAGAATCCGTTGGACAGTACGTCGACTAACACCACACACAGTCTCCAATTTGCGGGTACTTAACGTAGGATCTACATAAATTTGCCCTAAAACCCCCACATCTATTGCTTCATTCCTTATGGGATTTTCAATGCGTTTTTTATTGGCGACTGACCCAGTTTCCCAAAATCTAGCTACAAGTTCTAGGTCATATTTTCTATGCACGTTGCTGTTCTCATGTCGCTTATTAAATATTTCTGCTGTTCTATTAGCAAACTGATTATTTCCGAAAAATATTTCGATAATTTCAACTCTTTCTGCTGTGGAATATACCATGGTTAATTTATGTAATAAAGCGTTACAAGTTATTTTAGCAATAAATTTTGGTCAAATCAATCGCAAACTGTGTACTAAATTCATATTTAAAATAAGTACGATATATTTCCTTATCTTTCTTCAAGAAATAACTTTTTGCCACAAAAAACGCTCCAATAGCTATTTTCAATAACAAAATGATAAACAAACCATTGGCGTAGTGAAGGAAAGCATTTACTTATTACGTAAATTCTTTTTAATTTAAATCAATAAATCTTAAAAACTACTGAACTGAAGCTCATGTATTTTACATCATTATAAAGGGAATTGAAAGACGTTTAAAATAAGGTAACACTCGACCCCCCTTTCCATTTAAGATTTTGGGGGTAGTGCCACCCCCGCTCAGGGGCTGCACGTGCTAACGTGACTTTTTGCCAAACTTGTGTCCCCCTCGAAAACAAAGTCGACGGGTCTAAGCGTTTTCCAAAAAAAACTGAGCTGCCAGTAAATGCGTCTGTTTCGTTTTCGATGCGCCACCCTGTATATTTCGACATAATCAAGAGGAAGTCGTAGTTACATTTTGAAGTCAAAACATTCGCTACATCGCTGAGTTTCCCTAATGTGTAAGCTTCTGAGGAGGTTGCTTACGCCTTATTCAGTTATCACATCTAAGCAAGTTGTACTTGGCTCAGAAGACCTGCTAGAGCTATTGCCAAATGTCACCCTAATTCACAAACCGACCGCTTACATTTCCTCCGACGTTATTGGAGTATATCTTTTTTGTTGCTTTCGATAGAATGTAACCACTTTGCATTTAGCGATATTCAAATACAGTTGATTCAACTGACACTAAACATAAGATTTGATAATTCACACTGTAAATCCTGACAATCAATGATACTGTTAACTTCATAGAGAAGTTTTAGTTATCGACAAATATTAATGTTTCACAATGAACATTGGGCCTTATATCGTTAGCAAATAGCAAAGAAAGCAGTGGTCCCAAATTCGAACCCTGTGGTACCCCTCATGATGTTGTTACTTTGTTATACAGTGGACCTCCGGTAATCCGATAAACATTATGCAGAGCAGTGTCGGACTATCGAATTTGCCTAAGACCCCCTATAGTCCGGAATTTTTAACAAAAGAGTACCTTGTAATCCGACAAATTACATATCCAATGGTAAGATTATATATGTTATGTATATGTACAAATCATACATAGTTTATGTATGTCGAATTTAGTAAATTAAATAACAATAGAGAGCTTACGTTTTATTATAAAATTAAGCATAAATGCACATACATATGTACCAAAATAATCAAGAATTATTAATCAAAATTATTAATGAATTTATCAAATTATGAAGCTTGGAAATATTCATCAATTTTTTTTGCTTGGTTGTTATAACGCGAGATCAGAGCTTTGTCCCTCATTCTTCTCCAAAGTTAATGTTCGTTGTAGGATGTACCATTCTCTTTAGCCCATTGTAAACCTAGCTCAAAGGCGTTAATTGCGTCTTGTGCTGTGACTTGTGGAGCAGTTGCAATCACGTCGTCGTTATTTTCCTGATTGTTTGTTGTATAATTAGAAACCTCTTTTATAATGTCTTCGTCAGACATTACATTATAAACATTTCCCTCTTTATCCATTCCACGGCACCAGATTTCCAAATCTTCCGGACTTATCTGTGTTTCTGCAGCGACTTGTTCTATAACTTCCGAAGTTACACTGATTTGTGGAACGTTGCTAGGAGTGGTGACTATATCTGGCAATAACTTTTTCCAAGACGATTTAATAGTTGATGACGGTAACGCATTCCACGACTGACAAGGAGCAAAAACCAAGTCTTTCATATTAAATTCTTTTAAAGTTTCTTCTATTGGTTGGCCTTTTGATACGGCTCTCAGAAGTAGGTTTTTCTCATAGTCTTGCTTGACAAACTGAATGATATTCTGGTCCATTGGTTGAATCAGTGCAGTGCAATTTGGCGGAAGACACATCGCAGTGATGCATTTATCCTCAGTTGTTAGTTCTTCTTCAGACGGATGACCGGGAGCGTTAACAAGAAGCAACAATGCTTTTTGAGGAAAATTGTGATCTTTTACCATTTTCTAACTTCAGGTACGAAGCATTCATCAAACCACTTTTTGAAAAGGTCTTTTGTCATCCATGCACTTTTTTGTCAGTAAAAGTGTACAGGTAAATCAATGTTTTTGAATGCCGGTGGTTTATTATATAGATTTCCCAATGACCATCATCTTAAGCGCGTGTGCGCCCGCAGCCTTAGCACATGGTAGTATGGTTACACGCTCTTTACTTACTTTTCGTCCAGATACGGATTTTTCGTTACAAGAAACGAAAGTTTTGTTAGGCATCACACGCCAAAAAAGCACTGATTCGTCTGCATTGTACAACTGTGACGAGTCAAGATTTAAATCGTTCACCTTTTGCAAAAATCTTAAATTAAAGGGCTCTATACAGGTGGCATCGTTAGAAAGTTTATCTCCTGTAATAGTCATTGAACGTATGCCATGACGACTTTTAAAACGTTCTAGCTATCCTTTGCTGGCCACAAAATCATCTTTTGTTATTTGCTTATAAAAAAACTTAGCTTTCATGGCCAACATGGGTCCTGAAATTGGTGCATGCCTATTTCTTTCCTGAAGAAACCACATGTACAAAGCTTCTTCCACTTCTGGATGTTCAGCTTTCTTGAGTGTCTGTCTCTTGCCTGGTCCGCAGTCAGTAGTTGACACGAATTTCTTGATCTTCTCGTGGTTTCTTTTAATATCATAAATTGTAGATCGGCCTACGCCGTATTCACTTGCTAAGCTACTGAAAGTTTCATTGCGATTTAAGCGGTCTAAAATATCACATTTTTCTTTAATTGTCAATGTTTTGTGCTTTCGCTTCTGAGTTTGTGATGACATTACTAGGTACTATAGGTACTTAATACACAATGAATAAATAGTAAACAATGAACGCTCGCTAGGCCTTACCGCTATCACAAGTAGTCAATTTCAAACTAAGTAAAACAATGCTTACGCGTCTAGCACGATAGCGGTGGCGCGTACAAGTTGTAACCTGTTCAAACCTGCGTGATCTACATTAGCGAAGATTGTCAAATACGTATGTATGTACAATTCAAAGACATGTCGGATTACAAGGGGCGCCGGATTAGACAGGGGCCGGATTATCGGGGGTCCACTGTATAGGCAATCTACACATTCCGCAAGTAATACCGCGGAACAGCAAGCAAGTCATCACTAAAAACATTCTACAGTTCTTTCTCGGTCTAACTTGTGTTTTAGGGATGCGTTTTGAACGGCCACGAGTCAGGAGCTGTCTCGAAGTAAGGCATAATGTAAAGCTAACTGTTGAGCGTCATTTGCACCTCGCTTGTACCATACTGTTGAAGTTTGAAGATAGATGTGCTACTACATATAGAACTAAGTCGCCTCTAGTTTTCGGCATATCCAGGAAATACTAGACACTTATCTTCCACCGTTTCTCCAAACGCCAGAGAACCCTATTTTCCAACAAGTTGGCCGTCCCTATATTGCTAGAGCTATAGTAGAACACCTAATAATGGTCAAATCAATCTGCTTCCTTGGCCTGCGTGATCTCCAGACCACATGCCATTTGTATAGTACATACGTGGAGTATGTTGGGAAGAAGAGCAATCTTTTTACCTCATCCTCCGCCAACGTTAGTAGATATTTGCAATCACGTGTAAAGCCCTCGTAGCTAAAACAGCGAGGCGCCTCAGTAGCATTGACGCTTAGGCAACCAATTATGCAGCTGGGGTTACGGAAGGGCTCGCGGTGTCATCTGGAATTTCTGGCCGCATCAAGAAGTATCTACCGACATCTAGACGGCTCCCGAGAAGTCGCGGCGCGTGCTTCTGGAAATCATCGACTGAAGATAAATACCGAACAGACAGCGGAAGAGTCAGAGGACAGTGTAACATCAGTCAGCATCGCGCTACGCGATAGTCCAGTCAAGATGGTCGTAAATTTGTGATAAATTAGTTACAAGTGCTGTTAGAGTAATAAATTTGACTGTGTACAGGGGAAACGGTATTTACGTTTCACAAGTACAGCTGGGTCATCAATGACATCAAGTTTACCCAACTTATTATTAGCGATACAGTAAAACAATTCACTTCAAAACTTAATCACGACTTCCTCTTGCGTATGTAAAAAATTATTCAAGTACTTTTACTGGTATTCTATTTTCTTGGTGACGTTTATTCTTTTTTACCTTTTCGTAGGAGATCACTTGAAGAGTGTCACAAACAGATAGCTTTGATAATGATCCAGGTGCCAACAGGGTATACTGCTTCCTGTTACATCGCTGTCGCTATGGCTCTCCAAGATTATGGCTTCCAAGTCACCCAGGAGGACTTAGTCCGATCTCACCATATGCACGCTTTTGTAATCTCGATTTTGACTTTCGTTTGCCACATATTTGCCGCACCGGTAAGTTATACTTTCTCCTATTTTTTACAAAGTTTTTTGAAACATTGACCACATTATGCATATATTATACTGTACATGTGAGGTCTTACAAACTATTTTATTATCTATTCGAGTGCCGTCATAGCATCAACGTAATTATCAACTTAATAGAAACGGTGGTTAAGTAATGTCTTTTTAGCAAACTTTGAGAAGCGGCGACTAAACATATTTTAAAAATCACATTAACGGATAAATTATATAATTTAATGGATTCCTTAGGTAATTAATATTACGTTGTGCATGAGTATGTATTTCTGCAGAGGTTTAATATTTATTCAGATTTCTGTGCATATAACATACGAGCCCTTTCCCACTTCAGTTGGCCCTACTATTGAAATCTTAGTTTTTTCTTATCAAACACAAATAATAAAAATGTAGCAGGGTGTAGGTTTAAAATATTAACAATGAATATAGTAGAAAACACCAACTTTATCACTCCCTAATCAAATATGCAGCATAAAAATAACACATGTTGCAATTACAGCATATCAACCTATTTTCATTTCAATACAAAATAAGTCTATAACGCATAGGTGGCTGTGAAAAATAAAAGCCATGACAATTGCTTTTATTAATCACAGCTGTCAGAATACGTTTAAAATAGTTTTGGGTAGTTAAGGTTTTCAAAATGGATAGAGGAAAGGTTATTAGTGAGAAAATTTGGTTACTGATAATTAAATTTTTTAATTCTGGGAAATCAAACTCAGAAATTGCAACTTTGTTAGACTTATCGCGGTACAGTGTGAGAAATATTGTTAGAAGATATAACGTAACTGGTTCAGTTAATATTAAGCCACGATATGTGAAAAAAGTAATATAACAAATGCCGACCAAAGAGCATTAAGAATAATCGTGAAAAACAGGCGTGTCAATTATTTACAATTATGTGCTCTGTGGAGTGACGCTGTTGGAAGAAGAATTTCGAGATCCACAACTCATAGAGAGGCCCACAAACTGGGATTTAGTACTTGCAAGGTAAGTTTTCTTATAAAAAAGTGAAGTAAAAACTCTAAAGTTTCACTTGTTTATAGGCCAAAGAAAAGCCACTATTAACTCCACTGCAAAAGAAAAATCGGCTTAGATGGGCTAAGGAACACAGACAATGGTGTGCAATACAATGGAGTAATGAGGCCCGATTCGAAGTTTGTGTTGGTGACAGTCGCAGTAGAGTTATTCGCAAAAAAGTGAAATTTCCAGCATCCATTATGGTCTGGGGCAGTATGTCATGAAAAGGAGTAGGAAAACTTCATTTTATTGATGGAAATGTGGATACAAACAAATATTTGGCAATTTTAGAAGAATCGCTTTTACCAGTGATGGAAGAATGTTTGACATCCGGCCAAGATTTTGTGTTTCAGCAAGATGGTGCAGCGTGCCATACCTCAAAAAAGGCTATAAAATGGATGGAAGAAAATAATGTACCACTTTTGAAATGGGTTTCTAGCAGTCCAGATCTGTTACCTATTGAAACTTTGTGGCACGAGATGAAAAAGGTTCTACTACAACATCCTGCTCGTACAATCACCGAACTGAGACAAAATCTTCAAGAAATTTGGGATTGTTTTACACCAAAATTTTGACAAAACTTGGTTAACACTATGCCCCTAAGAATTTCAGCCGTAATAACAAATAAAGGTGATGTTACCCAATGGTAATATTTCAATTGTTGTTTTGTTAACTTCGCGCATTTATTCGCACATTGTTTATTTGTTCGGATGTTCTATTAGTTATAGGTCTAAGTGATTTCAAATATGTATTTTTTACGACTAGAGTGTATCTAAATTGTTTATAAGAAAATAAATTGTTTTAGAAGTAAATATTTTCGTCATATTTAGTTTATAAAAGCATATTTTGGTACAAATCTTGAAGTGGGCCAACTGAAGTGGGACTTGAAGTGATTTATGCACGTTGATCCATAACTGGAATTCGTAATTATCCTCAAAGCCAGGTTCGCAATCTGTGACGTTGTTAGTGAAAATCTCTAGATTCCGCTGCACTTTTACAATCTGTACAATCCGGGCATTTGAGAGTAAGTACTACACTAATATGTTACTAACATCCCTGAGAAATGCAAAAATAATAATTCACAACAAAATTTCATGTATACTCATGAGGTCATGAGACTAGAACAACAATATTTACGCAAAATTTTCGCAACAGTTGCACAATTGAATCGATCATTTAAAAAATTATACCGGTCACATTTTTTCCAATATTTTTTTCTTGCAGAAAACCCTTTTTTAAACCTAGATACGCCTTTTAGGCATGATCTACGTTAGTCAATACATCTCCCTTCAAATAGTAACTCGTTATACACGTTCATTGCAAAACAATAAGTACTTTCATTAACTACTAGGTTACACATTCTGCGAGCAAAACCGCGGGTCAGAAACTAAATGAAAAAAGTCCCTAAAAACTTGTTTGTTTGTCAATGACACAGTTTTTATTATCTCCCAAAAAAATCAAATTCTGCGACTATAATGTTTTTGAAATGAACGATTCAACTGATTTCTGATCGTTTATGGCAGGTGTCTCCGAAGCCCACGAACACGACTATATAGTTGTAGTCACCGTCCTTGGTGGGTCAAAGTAAGACTACCAGTAACCCTTTATATATCTCCATCTCCCTCACACATACACATGCAGCCTACCCCTGAGTGTGAACGTTTGTTCGGTAGGCTCAAAGACATAAGTTTTTTAGTTGTGTGTCTGAGTGACAACTTACTTGACATCGGCGTGCAATTTGAGTTGTCCTGTTATCAGTCTTCAATATAAAATTGAACAATGCCCGGAAAAACTATCAATGTAGAAGGCTCGTGCTAAATTTATTAGAGTATTTCCAGGAAGAGAATGAAAACAGGTCTCCTGTTACCAACTCCGTGCGTACTGGAGATAGTAGCAGATGCGCCAAAGATTAGTCTGCGCAGTATTCAGCGAATAAAATCAGAAAATGAGAAAGGTTTGCACATAGTAACACCTGTGAAACAAAATCAAAAAAAGCAAGACCGATGATGTAGGTGATGTTTTCAAAACAGAAATTAGGAACACTTTCTATGATATGAGAAGTAAAGGACATCATATCACGACTTCTGCGCTCAATGAGGAGCTTAAAAAAGGTACATTCATACTAACTTAGTATGCATGCTTAAAATATGATAAGGATATAACAAAAAATCCACTAAAATTCTCCAAATAATTTGATGGCAAATATTTAAGTGTCTAGCGATCTTCCTCGTACTCGTTTCAGGATGTTCATCGACTTCGTACAGCACTGCTTCCTCAATTTCAGGTGTTCTCACAGTTAGAGGTCTACCTTCAGATGTTCCTTTTCGGACAGAACCAGTTTCAACGAGACGACGATGAATATTAGAAAAGGTTCGACTATCTGGCAGAGCACGATCGGCATATCTCTGGTGATAAATCCGTCTGGCTTGCTCACTATTACCGTCGGCAAGGCCATATACGTAATGCATTACCGCCATTTCTGCATTTGAATAATTCACCTTTATTAACAAGATTTTAAAAGTAAATAATGAAAAAGATGTCACAGCGAACAGATTTGAATAACAGAGACTTGTCAGATTTCAAAAGCCAGTGATTTATTCCAGAGCAAGTTGATATTTATTGCTAAATTGCATGCTGCAATTATTACATTAATTTTCTCGGACAATAGAACGGTTTTAATTTTTTTACTCAAAAATGGCGCATTGAAGGAAAACAATTCAAGAAAGATCATTTGTTTTCAATTGAACGGGAAATTCAAAAATAATTTTTATTTGGCAAAAAAACCATTGGCGTACCATTTTTTCTTAAAAAATATCGAAGTCAATACCCGTACGCACGCCACTGTTAAAGCTAAAAAATATTTTTGCATGGAAAAATATGCAACTTTATTAATTTCCACTATGTACTAAATATCAGTGAAATATCTGAAGCGATTCTGAAAATTTTAATGAATTTCCATTTTTTTCCTAAAACTTCAACAGCCCGAGTTTTTGTAAGGAAACATATTTGGACCATAGTTTATAAATAAAACTAACATTAATTTTCCATGTAGATTCACACCCTTAAATATTCGCATATCATTAAAGAACACCCTGTATAACGCCTCGGATTCAAGTTTAAGGCGTTAAAGCTTCCGGTTTTTCCTACAAGACAAGATAACCGCCGAGTCTTGTGTGACAGGTCAGACATTGTTTCCAAACGTATCTATTTTATGAGACATTATACGAATAACCTGAATAGTACACGCCCTATCCATTGCGTTTTCTTAGATTAATTGTGGATATTTGCCAAACGTCGTCGTTTAAACGAGTTTGGTAAGATAAAAACGTGAAGGACCTGAAACGCGACCATCAGGGTACAGGCAAGCGATATGTTGTGCTCCATGATGGGACCAAAAACGGTTTTTTGAGAGATACTGCATTGTTATTTGCTACAAAATCAATAAGTGCTGTCTACTACGATTCCATGGACGAAGATTCTTTAAAAACATGGGTATGTGAGAAGCTGATATCAGCGTTAGAAGAGCCATCTCTAGTAATCATGGATACTGCCTCTTATCATAGTGCCTTAACAGAAAAAATGCCCAATTCCAGTTGGAGTAAAATGCAATTGAATCAATGACTGCAAGACAAAAAGATACATTTTGATGATGACGCTTTTAAGTTCATGTCGCCTTAATAAACCATCGCCTCTAAGAAAAATCATAGACGAAATATCACATGAACATGGACATCAAGTTTTGCGGCTGCCCCCTTACCATTGTCAATAGTCTGGGGAATAGCCAAACAGTAGTATGATCGTCATATTGGGAAAAATGGCTATGGTGACAAGGAAGTTTTGAAAGTTTGGGATGATCGTCTAGTGAAGGTGACTGCTTTAGTTCGGGCCAAGTGTGTGAAATATACCAAGGACTTGATTAAAAACGACTGGAACAAGCATCAAGTGTTGGAGAAGACCAATGTAATCATTAACTTGGGAGAAAGTTCAGATGACTCTGATGAAGAAATCCAATAAACATGTGCACCTTAATGAAGACTGTTTAATATTTTGCTAGATATGGAAGTTACAAGCTTGATGTTTATTAAGGCGACATATACTAAGTGACATATAAATCCGAACACCCAGTTTAAATGGTTTTATTTTAATAAAAGTTGGTGAATGTATTTATCTTACTGTAAATAACAAGTGAAAACATTTTCAGTCTTATCAGTTGGACATTCCGGTTTTTATACTGCTTTTTTTTAATTCACTATCGCTCTAAAAATGAATATTTCAGCGGCAGTAAAGAATCAACGTTGGCGGATTTTGGGTCTTGACATCCTTTACGATCGGTTACGATGCCTAGAGTACGGAGACCTGTACGATTTCGTCAACTTAGTGAGTTTGGTAGGGGCCGTATAGTGAGACTTCGGAAAGCTGGACTTTCTTTTCGGGCAATTGCAGTTAGAGTGCAAAGAAGTGTAGACACTGTGGTTAGATGTTGTCAGGCATGTATTCGAGAAGGCCGTACGCAAAGAGCAAGGGGCACTGGACGCCGCCGTAGAACAACAGACCGTGAAGATCGCCGCCTAAGATTATTGGCCTTAAGGGACCATTTCTCCACTACCAAGTCCATTGCAAATGAATGGTTTGTAGAACACGGAAGACATATTGGCATGCGAAGTGTTTACCGACGAATGAGAAGTTTTGGCTTGTTTTCATACCGGCCACACTGGGTCCTCCCTTTAACTCGTAATCGCCTTGAGTGGTGCAGACAACGGTCACTCTGGGATCAGGAATGGAACAGTATTGTCTTTAGTGACGAGTCTCGATTTTGTTTAGGCATGCACGATGGTCGTGCCAGGGTTAGAAGGCGACGTGGTGAAAGGAGGAATCCACAGTTTTTTGTTGAAAGACATGTTCATCACACTGTTGGAGTTATGGTTTGGGGTGCTATAGCTTATGGTTCCAGGTCACCTTTAATCTTCATCAGAGGTAACATGAACGCGCAGCGTTATATCCACGAAGTTCTAGAATCCCATCTTTTACCCTATCTTGACACTGGCAGATCCAACTTTCCAACAAGATAATGCCCGACCACATGTTGCAAGATTCACAATAGACTTCTTTCAACATAATGATGTCACATTGTTACCATGGCCACCAAGATCTCCCGACTTATCCCCAATTGAGCAGGTGTGGGATATGATGGGTAGGAGATTGCTCAATTTGCAACGTCCTCCTCAGACTCTAGAAGCACTTCGAGAGGAGTTGGTGGTTACCTGGAATGAGATACCACAGGAGGACATTGACCACCTGATCAGAAGCATGCCTAGGCGCGTTGGAGAATGCGTAGCACATCAGGGTGCATCCACACATTATTAAAGGTCAAAGGGCTTTAAAGCAGTGGAATCATTTTGAAATTTTTATTATTTACTTATTATGCTTCATTAAGTACTTATACAAAATTTTATTAAAATACAATCATTTAAACTGGGTGTTCGGATTTATATGTCACTTAGTATAGATTTAAAAGCTCGAGTTTAGTTATCAAAATGTATTTTTTTATCTAGCAGTGATTCATTTAGTCGCATTTCACTCCAGGAAGAGTTGAGCATTGTTATTATTGAAGATGGTTCTTCTAATGCTCTATAAACGTGTTACATATCCACACCCAATGGTAAATGTTTCATCAAGTTAGCAACTAGATGTGTTATTTTGTATTATATTGAAAATTCCGTATGTATTTTTCATTTCAACTACACATGTTTATGTACTAGATTAGAAGATTTTTAAGAATTACGATTAGCAAATAATTTTGAATCGATTTCTCTCAGTTAGGAAAATTAAGATCCACCAAGGTACGTAGACTCGATCTGCTTACTTATTTCATATGGCGTTGACGGTCACTGCAACTATAGTCGATAACTTCAGGAGCAAGTCTTAAGCATTACTTCAAAAATGTGTCTAAAAACATTAGTCGTCTAACAACATTGCTTACTTTGAACTTAAAAAAAATGTTTCAGACACTGTACAGCTACGTCCACACTATCGTCGACAGTCGATCGGAATGGGCACCCCACCTGAATCCGCCTTTAAAAGCGGAATACCACTATGCCCAACATCATGTGCTCTGGAACAAGCCGGAATTGTTCTTCGAAGACTGGGAAGTGCGATTCGGACTATGGAAGTGCTTCAGGGCTCAGAAAATAAAAAAGCAGAAAGAAGGGGAATCTGTACCAAAATCTAAATGGAAAAAATATAAAAAGTGAAAATAAACATCTCTTTTATTTTAGTTTCATCACGTATTCTATCCGAGAATATCCAATTAAAATAGCCTCTAGATAGGTCAAAAAGGGATAAGAGATCCTAGCGTCATCTATGAGACGCTCGCAGAGCCAAACACTTTTCTAAAGGCAGATTTCTAAATCCTTTTTGTGCTCTCATACCGGGGTACATTTAGCTAAAACGAAGCTAGATGTACCATCCTACACGTTCTCGAAAAGTTTGTCGTTCTGTTGTTTTAGAAGGGTTATCACAGAAAATGTATCTTCAAAAGCATAACTTTTATTCTGCGTTAATTTCTAACGTCCCAAGTCACATTTATTAGTGTTCTATGAATAATATACAGCGCGTTTCTCGAACATATAGACAAAAATGGCGTTCATAAAGGACTGTGTTAAGCACAAGCTAGATCCTAACGAACTCTTCTGAAATTATATTTATAAATTATTTTTGTGTGTTTTGTGCCTCATAAGGGCCGCATATCTTTCAGATCCCTTTTGAAAGGTTTAAAACTAGGATATTGTAAAAATCTATTTTTACTGAAAGCTTAGGACCTTATGCTGGTTCATTTGTTTGTTTGTTTCGGAATTATTTAGCATTGATGTCCATAGTATCCATATTACACAGTATATCACAAAAGACTACATATTTGTATACAAAATTCCACTACTATGAATTCTGGTTTTCCATGACATATTTTTTCAATTTCCCTTTGAACATTTTCAAACTGACACACATCTTGATATCATTACTTAATTTATTAAATTCGTACAATCCCTTTTAAAATACTGACTTGCTCGTTATATTGCTACTGCCGTAAATGAAAGTCCTCTAGTAGAATAATTGTGGCACTCATTGTTCAATACAATAAAATTTTCTAAGTGATTTGGTAGAAGATGGTTTTTCAACTTGAATATGAAAATGAAAACCAAGCAGGCTATGAAATTTTTGATATTTAACCATTGTATTTCTTTCAGCATAAAATTTATTCTAGTATATTTATTTTTATTTAAGATGATTCTCATAGCTTTATTTTGTAATATTTGTAATTTTGAAAATACAGTTTCATTTGCAGTTAACAAAATAGTCGAAGAACAAAGGTTTAGGCTATGCGAGATTCTATAAAAGTAATTTATTTTCTTAGATATTTTTGAAATAATATTGTCATAGTGCCCTTCAAATTTTAATTTACTATCTACGTATATGCCCAAATATTTAAATGATTCGATTGACACCATTTTTTAATGATTAATTGTAAGATTTATCGTATTTTGATCTAAAGAACCGAGAGAAAGGGCTCTGCAACATCAAAAATATCTGAATACCGTCGTGTAGCCGCGACCCGCGACATCCCCGCGTGGTAGAAGGTCACTGGCTCAACCCGACGACAGAACTGGGTCGGGGTCAGTGTGTCAGGTCAGTATGCAACCTTCAACCGACGGTTACGGTCACGCGTGTAGAGGTAAACGAACCCGTATAATCGATTGCGTTTCAGAAAAAAAATAATAATAATGGCACACTCATACACCAATAATGAACTCGTTGATATGTTGTTAATTTATGGCGAATGTCTTCAAAATACTACAGAGGCTTTGCGAGTGTATGCAGATCGTTTCCCTAGACGACATCATCCAACGCCCCGCAGATTTGTGTACCTGGTCCAGAGAGTCAGGGATACGGGCCATTTGGAGGAATTTCGAGGTGGGCACAGTGGGAGGCCTAGACAACCACGAATGGTGCAAGTTGAGGAAGAACTACTGAATCGCGTAGACGAGAATCCCTCAACAAGTACTAGAGACGTGGCTAGAGAAGTGCAAGTATCAAAAACTAAAGTGTGGCAAACGCTGCGTGAAGAGGGGCTGTATCCGTTTCACGTCCAACGTGTACAATAGGGTGGGTCAAAATTTTTTTTTTTTCGGTTTTGAAAAAGGCTCAGTAATAAAAAGGTGCCAAATGGTGCCGTTAGTTCATATGTAAAATTTTATTACATAATTCTGAGTTTTATTGCCTCCGGATTGTACTAAAGCATTGTGTGTACGTAAACTTCTAGCGTCTCCTCGGGCGTCACTTTACTAATTCTTTATGCATCTTCGATTAGGGTTCCTGTTACTTTGGTTGCCTAAGCGTTAGTGTTAGCTACTGTTTGGTTGAGTTCAAGTAGCCAGGGAGAGGGAGGGGTAAGAGTGGGGGTGTTAGGTAAGACACACGGGTAAGACAAGTCGCGCACAGTTCATCGCAATCAGTATCTTGCGTTAGAAAGTGCGGACGTGTAAGTTTCGCTGTCAGAAAAATGGAACGTACTCGAAATAGTTGGAAGTGTCCGATATTTGGTGATTTAAATGACTTGAAAGACAACGTATTGCCAACCTATGGGGATGTAATGCGATTTTATGAGTGGACCCGACACAGGTTGAAATACGAGAGAGAAACAAATAAAGAGCCAACATATAAAGAAATAGAGGCCATTGTAGTTGCAAGACTGATAGAAATATGGGCAAAATCCTCTATCCCTACAGTTGAACCCAAACGAATGAAGGTAATGTTACAAACGTATCACTTAAAATGCAAAAATCTCCTCAAATCTAATCCAAGAATACCTAAAAACACGTTGGAAGGGTTTCGTCTTGGGAGTAAAGCCTTGTTTGATATTTCGGCTTGCAAGTGTCAAGAGTTTCTCAAATGTGCTTGCCCGAAAAACAAGAAAATACCTGCAAGAGAACGTGGCTTTATAACTGATCAACGAACCGCTAGGCAAATGGTGATAGGTGCCTTAGATGTTGTCACAACAACAAAAATTACAAAAACACTGAAAAGGAAGTCAATACGAGAAAATTCTAAGAGCAAACGACTGAAAAAAACCGAAACATGTACGGAAAAGCTGAGTAGCACTTCTGAATCCGAAAGTGTTCAGTCCGATGCTGAAGAACCAACACAAATCAAGTTGAGGACTTCAAGTGGTCAATCTAAGAGTGACACTAGACTTGATTATACTTTGCTATCAAAAACATGCGATAGATTCGGAGTGTCGGATAGGGCAGGAGCAGCTATCGCATCAGTTGTTCTACATGCGTCGGGTTCTCAAGCAATAGATAAAAATAAACTACGCCGAGAACGAAAAAAGGCCAGAGAAAATATAGTTTCACAGCAAACTGTTTCACAAATACACGCATTGTATTTTGACGGAAGAAAAGATCAGACTCTAATGATGTCTGAAATAGAAGGAAAAAACTATAGAAAACGCATAGTTGAAGAGCACATTTCTTTGATAAAAGAACCTTATTCGGAGTTTTTAGGCTATATTACACCTGCTTCAGGCACTGCAAAGTGTATAGCAAATGAAATATTTGACTTTTTCTTGAATGCTGATATATCCGTCGATGATTTAACTGCAATTGGATGTGATGGAACTAATGTGAATGTTGACATATATGGCGGTATTATACGACTGCTAGAGAAACGGTTAGGTAGACCCTTACAATGGATTATTTGTTTATTCCATATGAATGAACTACCATTTAGACATCTGTTCCAATATATTGATGGTAGTACCTCTGGACCACGAACATTTTCAGGAACGATTGGCAAAGATCTCGAGAACTGCGAAAAAAGACCTATAAGCAAGTTTAAGCCTATTCCAACGAGCTTACCGGAGCTTTCTGCTAAAGATATCAGTACTGACCAAAAATACTTGTACAGAATGGTTGAAGCAATCTCAACCGGTGTATTTCCTAGCGATTTGGCTAATAAATCACCAGGTAAAATGTCGCATGCGAGGTGGCTGACTCGTGCGAACAGGATCCTCCGTCTGTATGTTTCTGTAGAGACTCCGCCTGAAAGTCTAACTATTCTTGCAACGTATGTTATCAAGGTTTATGCTCCGATATGGTTTTCTATAAAATCTCATTCTAGCTGTAAAGATGGATCGCGACACTTTTTCAAACTCATCGAGTTATCCAGATATTTACTAGCAAATTTGAAATCTATCGTCGATCCAGTAATTCAAAGAAACAGCTATTTCGCACATCCGGAAAACGTATTGCTCGCAATGTTAACAGACTCTCAGCCGCACATTCGTGAATTAGCTGCACGACGCATTTTGAAAGCTAGATCAGTAACAACTAAAGATTTGCGCATTTTTAAGTTACCACAGATTAACTTCAATGCATCAACGTATTATGATCTTTTGAATTGGCAAGAAGATATCTCTGAGCCACCATTATTGAAATCTGTAACCGAAAAATATCTCCGATTATTTATTGAACAGAAAGGAGAAAGAGACTTGGATTTCTTACGCCTTCCTTGTCACACACAAGCAGTAGAAAGAGCAGTCAAAGCTGTAACCGAGGCCTCAACCACTTTGTGCAATAAGCTAATGAGAGAGGGATTCATCAAAGCCCAGATGGACTCGAGAAAAGCAATGCCAAAATTTGATAGCAAAAAGGATTTCTCTACAAAATAAACCCCTCGCTCAATGATTATTCATTATTATTTTTGTTGTAAACATTATTTTCTGTTCAATAAACGTTTACTTACTACTCATTCAAGACATTTATTTGTAAATTATATTCATTAGTGTGACTTTGTATGCCACGCAGTTATACCTCCTTTAACCCCATCTTTGACAATTTCCACATGATTCCGGAGGCAGAAGATTAATTCTGATTGCAATCTAACTTCATAACATGTTCACACTCATGATTTAGCACCCTTTTGTCACTGAGCTTATGAAAAAAAAGAACATCTTTTTTTCACATATAAAAGTGACCCACCCTAGTGTACAAGCCCTTCAACCTGACGATTTTCCAGCAAGAGTGCGGTTTTGTGAGTGGTTGTTGCATCAACATGACAATAATCCGGACTTTTTGAAGTGCATATTGGTGACAGATGAATCTACGTTCACGCATAATGGGGTGAATAACTTTCGCAACACTCATGTTTGGTCAGTAGAAAATCCGCACGCTGTCCGTCGGGCACATTTTCAACAAACATTTTCGGTGAATGTTTGGGCAGGCATGGTGAACGGTGTGCTCATTGGACCATTTATTCTCCCAAATCGATTGGTCGGGATGCAATACCTAGACTTTTTACGCAACATTTTGCCTTCCTTGTTAGAAGATGTGCCATTAAGTGTAAGACAATCAATATGGTTTCTGCACGATGGTGCACCGCCCCATTTTAGACGCGAAGTGCGTGAGTTTTTGAATGAATTATTTCCGAATAGGTGGATCGGACGTAATGGACCCGTAGCGTGGCCTCCGCGATCTCCAGACTTAACACCATGTGCTTTTTTCTGTGGGGAGAAATGAAACGCTTAGTGTACAAAAATGAAGTGCATACGGTTGACGAACTTCGTCTCAGAATTGAACAAGCTGGTGCTTTCATTCGGGGGAGGGACTCCATTCTCAAAGCCTGCACCGATGCTTGGCTACGTCGTGCACGCACCTGTGTTTTTGAATCAAACGGTGATAACTTCGAACAATACCTATAAAGTACGTTTACCTAAAAACTGAAAACGCGGCAACGCCATCATATTTGTTACCTCTGTTCGTGGTCTGCACCACCGCCTGCGTCTGCTCGGTAGCGCATCAGCTGATTCATTTTCTGTTGGAGCGGTATGATTTTGGGCAGAGGCGTACTTAGCCCTTCTCGTCAACTGGAGAGTGAGTACTTTTTCCTTTATTTTTTTTTACTTGGTCGCCCTCGTTTCACTACACATTACCTTTGTTATTTCAAGGGTAGTTGTTTCTGAAAAGGACAACCCCAACTTTGCGGACACCCTGTATATATATATATATATTAACGGATAACGAGCAAATAGTTGAATTATGCAGTGTTGTAAAATATCAGGAATATCGTTAATATATAAAATAAATAGTAATGGACCTAATTTGCTACCCTGTGGCACACCTACCGAAATGTGTTTAATGTTTGATAATGTATTGCCAATTTTAGTTCTTTGACTTCTATTGATTAAACGATTTTGTAATAAGTTGAAATAAAAACAGCACAAAATGTAACAGTATTCAAGAGGAAATTAAGGACTGTATTTATGTCCAACTAACATGCCATGATTGGAGCGTTTCCATCCTTGTCACAGTGGTAATCCTGTGTAAAAATTTTCTTCCGGTTACATACGGGTCACTGATTAGTGGACAAACAGACCGATAAAAACGCGATTCAATAATCCCTCACCCGTACGAGTTGGAAGTAAAAGTAATAACCGTTTCCGACATCTCTGAGCCTCACCTGCTTTGACATTTTTTTACCATTTGTATTGGTAGATAGTGGTGTTAAGGATCTGTAATTTTCAATATCGGCCATAATAATTCCATTCATTGTATGTACCCGGTGCTTCTGTCTATTGTCTACTGACGAAAGGTCGATGCTGTCCAGAGCAGAACTGTCCCACTGATCGATGACTCTTCTCTATCGGGCAGTCTCGGAACCTTTTCGCACCGACGGGTGGTCGACGACCTGGCTCTCTTCTACTGCTTTGCTCCTCAGAACTTGATCCCCCGCGCAATGTGCATGCCAGGCATACCTGTTTAACTTCGGCCTCTCATTCTAACCATGTCCAAATTAGTACATCCAAAACTGACAGGACTACCGTTCCTCTGTCCTTACGCTCTCGAGACTATTCTAATAAAGTTGGAACATGGTCTATTGACTCTGAATCAAACACTCGTTGACTTGATCGAATCTAACTTTATTCTGGCTTCTTTAGGTAACAATGCGTCGTGTACAATACAAATTAGGGTAGTCATTCAACTGCCTGCATCAGGAATTAACAGGTAGAAAACAAATGTGTCAGAATTGGCATGAATACCGATTTGTTATAATTTTTCTGGGTGATATCAAACCATTCTACATTGTAATACAATCTGCCCGAGGAGGCTTGACCCAGCCGTAGTATCATCAGGCAATTCAAGGATCAGATTAAAAACGTGTGTTTAAGATCCTTATCGCAGCTGTGGTTGGCCCGGTATTTAGACTTTTGTCTACGCGGCAGCATCGATTTAAAAAAGTATTTGTTCCTTGATAAGAAAATTCCATCTTTTTGTGTATTTGTCGATCTGAAAAAGGTATTCGATACAGTTAATCACACGTTACCGTTAAATATTTTAGACAAATTAGGTTTTCGTGATTCGCTGATGCAAAGACATTCATCAGAAGGCCCCAAGTAGTGAAACTATCAAAATCATGCAGTAAGGAAATGTTGATCAAACGTGGTGTACCTCAGGGTACAGTGTTAGGCGCTCTTTTATTTAATATCTTTTTGAATGATATACTAAGTGACATATAAATCCGAACACCCAGTTTAAATGGTTTTATTTTAATAAAAGTTGGTGAATGTATTTATCTTACTGTAAATAACAAGTGAAAAAATGTTCAGCCTTATCAGTTGGACATTCCGGTTTTTATACTGCTTTTTTCAATTCACTAACGCTTTAAAAATGAATATTTCAGCCGCAGTAAAGAATCAACGTTGGCGGATTTTGGTTCTTGACATCCTTTACGATCGGTTACGATGCCTAGAGTAACTTAGTGAGTTTGATAGGGGCCGTATAGTGGGACCTCAGGAAGCTGGACTTTGTTTTCGGGCAATTGCAGTTAGAGTGCAAAGAAGTGTAGACACTGTGGTTAGGTGTTGTCAGGCATGGCTTCGAGAAGGCCGTACGCAAAGAGCAAGGGGCACTGGACGCCGCCGTAGAACAACAGACCGTGAAGATCGTCGCCTAAGATTATTGACCTTAAGGGACCGTTTCTCCACTACCAGGTCCATTGCAAATGAATGGTTTGCAGAACACGGAAGACCTATTGGCATGCGAAGAGTTTACCGACGAATGAGAAGTTTTGGTTTGTTTTCATACCGGCCACACTCGGTCCTCCCTTTAACTCGAGAACACCGACGTAATCGCCTTGAGTGGTGCAGACAACGGTCACTCTGGGATCAGGAATGGAACAGTATTGTTTTTAGTGACGAGTCTCGATTTTGTTTAGGCATGCACGATGGTCGTGCCAGGGTTAGAAGGCGACAGTTTTTTGTTGAAACACATGTTCATCACACTGTTGGAGTTATGGTTTGGGGTGCTATAACTTATGGTTTCAGGTCACCTTTAATCTTCATCAGAGGTAACATGAACGCACAGCGTTATATCCACGAAGTTCTAGAACCCCATCTTTTACCCTATCTTGACACCCTGGCAGATCCAACTTTCCAACAAGATAATGCCCGACCACATGTTGCAAGAGTCACAATAGACTTCTTTCAACATAATGATGTCACATTTTTACCATGGCCACCAAGATCTCCCGACTTAACCCCAATTGAGCACGTGTGGGATATGATGGGTAGGAGATTGCTCAATTTGCAACGTCCTCCTCAGACTCTAGAAGCAATTCGAGAGGAGTTGGTGGTTGCCTGGAATGAGATACCACAGGAGGACATTGACCACCTGATCAGAAGCATGCCTAGGCGCGTTGGAGAATGCGTAGCACATCAGGGTGCATCCACACAGTATTAAAGGTCAAAGGGCTTTAAAGCAGTGCAATCATTTTGAAATTTTTATCATTTACTTATTATGCTTCATTAAGTACTTATACAAAATTTTATTAAAATAAAACCATTTAAACTGGGTGTTCGGATTTATATGTCACTTAGCATATTTGTAATGTGGTTTGTTTCTCTACTTTTGCTCGGTACTGTATAGACCTCTTTGATTAAAGTTTTTCTTTAAATTTCTTTTAACTTTTTTGTTTTGATTTTGGAACACATTCAAACACGACTGATTCATGTACAGGCATTGTCCTTCTATGGATTGAAACATTTATTTGCCCATTTTATGTTGTTACTGTTCTTATATAATGGAGTAAATAAATGTCTACTACTACTACTACTGCACTCTGGTAGAACCTGTTGGACGAAATCGTTAGACTTCTACTTCTCACTTCGAATATTTCTTCCAGGTACTATACGACTACGTCCACTCTGTGCTGCAACGCCGAGCGTCCAGTGCTCCACACTTGAATCCCCCATTCAGGACAAGCTACGTATACGCTCCCCACCATGTGCTGTGGAACAGCCCGGACCTCTTCTTCGAGGATTGGGACGTGCGGTATGGACTTTGGAGGTGTTTTAAGACTAAGAAGCCGTTTAGGTTCAGCATAGTTGCAGACGATGAATAAAAATGAAATTTGCTTGAATCACTATACTATAGCTATATTATGTTATTAATAGTAATTAAATACTGGCCTATTCTGGATGTAATTTTTAAGATAATATAAGAATACGTGAATATAATACTAAGTGACATATAAATCCGAGCACCCAGTTTAAATGGTTTTATTTTAATAAAAGTTGGTGAATGTATTTATCTTACTGTAAATAACAAGTGAAAAAATTTTCAGCCTTATCAGTTGGACATTCCGGTTTTTATACTGCTTTTTTTTAATTCACTAACGCTCTAAAAATGAATATTTCAGCCACAGTAAAGAATCAACGTTAGCGGATTTTGGTTCTTGACATCCTTTACGATCGGTTACGATGCCTAGAATGCGGAGACCTGTATGATTTCGTCAATTTAGTGAGTTTGATAGGGGCCGTATAGTGGGACTTCGGGAAGCTGGACTTTCTTTTCGGGCAACTGCAGTTAGAGTGCAAAGAAGTGTAGACACTGTAGTTAGGTGTTGTCAGGCATGGCTTCGAGAATGCCGTACGCAAAGAGCAAGGGGCACTGGACGCCGCCGTAGAACAACAGACCATGAAGATCGCCGCCTAAGATTATTGGCCTTAAGGGACCGTTTCTCCACTACCAGGTCCATTGCAAATGAATGGTTTGCAGAACTCGGAAGACCTATTGGCATGCGAAGTGTTTACCGACGAATGAGAAGTTTTGGCTTGTTTTCATACCGGCCACACTGGGTCCTCCCTTTAACTCGAGAACACCGACGTAATCGCCTTGAGTGGTGCAGACAACGGTCACTCTGGGATCAGGAATGGAACAGTATTGTCTTTAGTGACGAGTCTCGATTTTGTTTAGGCATGCACGTTGCTCGTGCCAGGGTTAGAAGGCGACGTGGTGAAAGGAGGAATCCACAGTTTTTTGTTGAAAGACATGTTCATCACACTGTTGGAGTTATGGTTTGGGGTGCTATAGCTTATGGTTCCAGGTCACCTTTAATCTTCATCAGAGGTAACCTGAACGCGCAGCGTTATATCCACAAAGTTATCTTTTACCCTATCTTGACACCCTGGCAGATCCAACTTTCCAACAAGATAATGCCCGACCACATATTGCAAGAGTCACAATATACTTCTTTCAACATAATGATGTCACATTGTTACCATGGCCACCAAGATCTCCCGACTTATCCCCAATTGAGCACGTGTGGGATATGATGGGTAGGAGATTGCTCAATTTGCAACGTCCTCCTCAGACTCTAGAAGCACTTCGAGAGAAGTTGGTGGTTGACTGGAATGAGATACCACAGGAGGACATTGACCACCTGATCAGAAGCATGCCTGGGCGCGTTGGAGAATGCGTAGCACATCAGGGTGCATCCACACATTATTAAAGGTCAAAGGGCTTTAAAGCAGTGCAATCATTTTGAAATTTTTATCATTTACTTATTATGCTTCATTAAGTACTTATACAAAATTTTATTAAAATTGAACCATTTAAACTGGGTGTTCGAATTTCTATGTCACTTAATATAATACTGATTTTTCTTTGATAGTGTCGTGAAGGAATATTTAGTATTTTCAAGAAAACCTCCCTCCCTACTTATTTTTCTAACAGGTCAAGTCTGCAAGCTAAAGGAATATAACACATTCCATACCAAAAATGGCTCCGCAGGAGTATCATGTAAAAAACCTAAAAAACGTCAAAAAAAGAACCGACAAAATGTCATCTTGCAGACTAAGTAGTTCTTAGTGTGCAAACAGTTCATTCCACGGTTGCTTGCTATGATCGCTGTTCGCTGACGTTTAAGCAACACGTACAGCTACAAAACGAGTTCACAAACAAGTATACAGCAGTTTGCGCTAAGTTAACATCTTGTAGAAAAGTTTCAAATGACCTACGAAATGTCAAAAAAAGCCATGAAATGTCACTTTTTAAGATACGTAATACCCATGCCGATCAAAATAGCCGAAATTTTAGTATATACTAAGTGACATATAAATCCGAACACCCAGTTTAAATGGTTTTATTTTAATAAAAGTTGGTGAATGTATTTATCTTACTGTAAATAACAAGTGAAAAAATGTTCAGCCTTATCAGTTGGACATTCCGGTTTTTATACTGCTTTTTTTTAATTCA